AGACCCGAAACGTCAGCTTTCCTGCTCCTCTGATGCTGCTTGGCCTGCTGCGTTCATCCAGCTCCACACCTTGTAATCCCACCAAATTATAGAACAGGATAGTGATAACCAGAGTATGTATGTCAGGAAGGGACAAAGCATACAAACTTAAAAATGCATCAGAGAATAGGCCAGAGATTTCAAAAGTGATAAAAAGACAAAATTAAAGGGTACGTTTATGAATGCACACAGTACTTGTAACAAACTGAATGAATTATTAGAAGATATTTTTAATCCATCTGTTCAGACCGACCTCTGAGACAGGTGGAACTTAAACTGGGGCTTCCAGGCTCAGAAGTAGGGACACAATACTGTACTACAGAGGCCCCTGTGAATTGTTAGTCCAGACAGAAATGAATACATCACCTGACAGCCATTACAGATAAATGGTTGTAGAGTGACCAAGGCTGGCACCTGAATATTTAAGGGTATCTGACATTGAGAATATAGCAATCTTGGTAAAGATGGTATGGTAGGTAACTCTGTTGATTAAGGATGTCATTGTGCAGTACTAAGATATGATCTTAGCTCAAAAGAGCAAAATGAGGAATCAATTCGGATAGAAATAAGAAATAGGAAAGTTAAGATACTACTAGTCTAAATAATTTATAGGCCCCTAACAGTAGTTATATTATGGACACAGTATATAGGAAAAAAAGTAAATGGGCCGTTTAAGAAAGGTACCACAACAATCATGGGTTACTTTCGCTTACATGTAGCTTGTGCAAATCAGACAGGCAAAGATACCCCTAAAGAAAGGAAAATGACAAGTTCTTACAGCATCACATCAAATAGCTAACCAGGGAGTAGGTTCTCTTGACGTGGTAATGCACAATGAGATTGGATTAATCAATATCTTCGTAACGAAGTCTCTAGGTGATAGTGATCATAACACTACAGAAATTTACATTCAGCTTTAAGGGGAGAAATGCGGATCTAAGACCTAAAGGCCAAAAAGTCCCCAGGACCAGATGACCTGCATCTTAGGATTATAAAAGTGGATGCAGAAGTGTAGATTCATTGATTATAAGCTTCCAAAATCCCTCAGATTTTGGAAAAGGTTCCCAGCATGCTGTAAAATAGATAATGCAAAAATAAAAGTCAAATCTATAAGCCAGTTCACCAAACATCTGTCACACAGGAACTGTTAGAATCCATTATTAAGGAAATTATAGACAAATATTTAGAAAATCATAATGTGGTCAGGAAGACTCAACATGGTTTTGTGAAAGGAAGGTGTATTTAGTAAGAATTCTTTGAGGAAATTAATATGCAAAGTGGATAAAGTGGAATCTGTAGACATGGTGTACATCAATCAAAGATTACCACACAGGACAAGAGCATATTATGTGGTAGGCAACTATTAAGCCTAAAGCTGGTTTTGCTAAAAGGAAGCCCAAAATCAGGATAAGTCTATCTTTTTCAGGTTGGGGACTTACGGCATTTAACTAGTTACAAGAATCAGTGCTGAGACTCAGCTATTTACAACATACATGAATGCTTTGGATTAAAGGACTTAATGTATAGTGGATGAACTTGTCAATGATATCAAGCTAAGTAGGAAGGCAAAATTATCAAGATATAAAGAGCCTAGACAGAAAGATAGTTTGAACTAGTAGACATAAATTTGGAAAATTGAGTTTAATGTGGAGAAATGTGAACATGTTACTTTGACAGGAAGACTTCGCAGTGGTGAGAGAAGAGAGAAGGTTGAGGCTGGTACAGAAGTTAGAGTGCAAATTAAATATACATGGCAGACAAGAGCACAACAGAGAATGAGGGAAGATTGATGAATTAAACTATGTTTATTTCAATGCAAGAGGCCTAAAGAGGTAAAGCAGATGAAGTCAGGGTATAGATGGGAACATGGGGCTGGGATATCATAGCTATTACAGAAATATGGTGGAGGGAGAGACAAGACTAGCAGCTCAAACTGATCTGAAGTATAGATGCTATCGGAAGGATAGAGTGAGACGGTGGTGGGGGTGGGGAGGAGTGGCATTTTAGGTGAAACATCATGGCAGTACTTAGGATATTCCTGGGGAATCGTCCAGTGAAACTATATAGAACCGAGAAATAAGAAAGCATGTTCACTTTGATGGAATTGTACTATAGGCCCCCCTAAAGTCAGCAGGTAATTGAGAAGTAAATGAGTAGGGAGATAGCTGATACCTGTAAGAATAATGGGGCTGTAATAGTAGGGGATTTTAACTTTTGAAACATAGGCTGGGACTGTCAACGTATTAAGGCTTGGATGGGGAGGCATTTGTTAAGTGTGTTCATGAAAATTTTATCAATCAATATGTAGACATCCCTACTAGAAGGGGCAAAACCCAACCTCCTCCTGGGAAATAAGGCAGGGCAAGTAACTAAGGTGTTAATGGGAGAGCACTTTGGGACCAGTGACCATTCTATTAGTTTTAAAATAGTTATGGAAAAGGATAGGCCTGGTCCGCAAGTTAAAATTCTAAATTGGGGCAAGGCCAATTTTGATGGTATTAGACAGGAACTTTCAAAAGTTGATGGGGAGGCTGTTTGCAGGTAAAGGGGCATTTGGCAAATGGAAGACTTTCAAAAGTGAGATAACGCGTTCAGGGACAGCATATTCCAGTTACTCTAAAGAGCAAGGCTGGCAGGTATAGGGAACACTACATGACTGGAGATTGAGGGTCCAGTCAAGAAAAGAGGTGGTTTATGTCACCTATAGACTGCTGGGATCAAGAAAATTCCTTGATGAGCATACGGGGTGTACGAATACACTTAAGACGCAATTCAGGAGGGCAAAAAGGGGACATGAGAAAGCTTTAGCAGATAAAGTTGAGAATCCAAACAGATTCTACAAGTATATGAAGGGCAAAAGAGTAACTAGGGAGAGAATAGGGCCCCGTTTAAAAAAAAAATCAGCAAGGCCATCTATGTGGGGAACTACCAGAGATGGGAGAGATCCTGAACGAATATTTTGCATCAGTATTTACTGTGGAGAAAGACATGAAGCTAGGGAACTTGGGGAAATAAGAGATTTGGATTAGCAGAGATTAGTATCATTGACAACCACAGGTGAGGTGCCAAAAGACTGGACAGTGGCTAATGCTGTGCCATTATTTAAGAACAACTGCAAGGAAAAGCCATGGAATTGCAGACCGATAAGTCTGATGAGAGTGGTGGGTAAATTTTTGGAAAGGAGTCGGAGAGTCAGGATCTACACGCATTTGGAAAGGCAAGAACGGATTAGGGATATTCAGCATGACTTTGTGGGTAGGAAATAGTGTCTCACAGACTTGAGGTTTTTGAAGAGGTGACCAAGAAAATAGACATTGGCTACATGGACTTTAGCAAGGCCTTCAACAAGGTTCCACATGGTGGACTGGTCAGTAAAGTTTTTCACATGAGATCCAGGAGAGCTAGCCAACTGGATACAAAATTGGCTTAATGGTAAGAGACAGAGGGAATGTGTGAGAGGGCTGTTGTTCAGACTGAAGGCCTGTGACCAGCGGTACACCACAAGGATCAGTGCTGGGTCCACTGTTGTTTATCATTATATATAAAGTGATTTGGATGAGAACATAGGAGGCATGGTTAGTAAGTTTACAGATGACACCAAAACTGGTGGCAGAGTGGACAGTGAAGAAGGTTATCTCAGAGTTCAACAGGATCTTGGTCAATTGGGTCAGCGGGCTGAAGAACGGCAGATGAAGTTTAATTCAGTCATGCAAGGTGTTGCATTTTGGTAAGACAAACTAGGACAGGACTTACAGTTAACGGTAAGGCTGTGGAAAGTGTTGTTAGAGAGAGAAATAGGTGTTCAGGTGCATAGTTCCTTGAAAGTGGCATCATAGTAGACAGGGTGGTGAAGGAGGCATTTGGCACACTTGCCTTCATCAGTCAGAGCACTGAGTATAAGATTGGGACATCATGTTATGACTGTACAAGACATTGTTATGGCAACATTTAGAGTACTACATACAATTCTGTTTGCCCTGTGACAGGAAGGATGTTATTAAACTGGAAATGGTGCAAAAAAAGACTTACAAAGATGTTGCCAAGACTGGAAGGTTTGAGTTATAAAGCAGAGGCTGGATAGGTTGGGGCTTTTTTCCCCCCCTGGAGTATAGGGGGCTCAGGGGTGACATTATAGAAGCTTGTAAAGACATGAGGGGCATAGATAAGGTGAACAGCCAAGGTCTTTTCCCCAGAGTATGGAAGTCCAACACTAGAGGGTATAGGTTTAAAGTGGAGAGGGGTAAGATTTAAGGGGGACGCAACAGGCAACTTTTTCCACACAGAGGGTGTTGCACATATGGTATGAGCTGCCTGAGGTAGTGGTAGAGGCAAGTCCGATTACAACATTTAAAAGACATTTGGACAGGTACGTGGAAAGGACAGGTTTGGCAGGATAATGGTATAAATATAGGCGAATAGGACTAGTTCAGCATAGACAAATTGATCAGAAGGGTCTGTTTCCATGCTGTATGACTATCACTAGAAAATAGTCCACTATTTAAATGAGGAGAGAATGTGAAACTCTGAGGTGCATAAGAAATGGTGTCATGCTAGACAAATTACAAACCTGCAGTTACAGCAAGTGATTGGAAAGGCAGGCAGAACACTGTGATTCACTACAACAGGAGCAGAATATTAAAGTTGGGAAGTTTTATTGGTGGGACCTCGGTGAAACTACTTATGGAACACTTTATGCAATATGGTCTACTTATTTGAAAACTTATTAGAAGCAATTCAGAGAAAGGTTTTGCATGAGTCATTCTTGGAATGAAAGGTTTATTTTACTAAGAAATGGTGGACAGGCTGTTTCAATATCCAGTGGCAGTTTAGTAGAGCGAGAGGGAATTTTATTGAAACATGCAAGATACTTAGGAGACTTAACAGGGTGGAGGCTAAAACTAGGGCCAGGGCTTTCCCATTTTTGACAGAGATGAGGACAAATTTTAAAATTTCAGAAGCTGCTAGTCTGTGGATTATTTTCTCAAATAAGCATGGGAGGCTGGGTCATTGAATTTATTCAAGATAGAGTAAGGCAAATTTTTGAAAGACAATTGAGTCAAGGGTTATGGGATTAGATAGGAATGTGGAGTTAAACCACAACTACGGACCACAATTTCAAGATAGTTAGCAAGAGAGCTAGGAGCGAGAGGAGGAGAAACTTCTTTATTTCAGAGAGTTGTTAGGATTTGGATTGTGCTGCCTAAGAGTGTGATGGAGGCGGACTCCACAGGAGGAGGTATTGAAAAGGCAGCTGGATATATATTTGAAAGGTGATCAACTTAGAGGGCTATGGAGGTAAGGCTGGAAAGTGGGACCGGCAAGGAAGCTCTTTCAGGAGCTGGTACAGACAATGGGCTGAATGTCCTTCTCTAAATGTAAAGTTCCATGATCTTATCGAATGGTAATTCTGAAGGACTAACAATATGTTTAAAAATTCAGATTTTACATCAAAACTGTACTCACTTTTTGCGATCCTTGTCTTTCTTGAGATTCATTTGTGGTGCAGTCTGGAATGCCTGACCTTGAAGCAATTCAGTCGCAGCTTTCCTCTTATTGAATACACTCATCTCTTCATCCAAGACACTTTTCTTTTCATCCAATTTCTTTCTCTCTTCCTGGTGCATTTTCTTTAAGTGTTCAAATTTATCTTGCAACTGCCAGCATGATTTTTAAAAACATTATTAAATTCAAGCTCCGTAAAGATAGTATCAAATCTGCACAGCTTTTCTTAGTACTGGATCTTGCTTATAAAGTAAAAACCACAGTCAGTCCATAAATACAATTCTTTACAAGAGGTATGTTACAATCCTAGGCTTCCCTTTAGTTGCATGCATAGATAATTTACCTGACCTCCTCGGAATTTGTTTAAATTAGTTCACTCTGCAGGGCGATTGCACCTTATAACGTTTGTTTTCTTTAACATTTTATCAAGCACATCTTCATTTTTATTCTCTCATTTCTCAATTATGTAAAAATCAAAAAGGCAAGTTGATTCTTTAATTATTCGTATTAATTTCTTTTAAATTTTGAACAGAACGCACTGGCTTCTGTCAAAACATCAGGGAGAAAATGTGTTCCTTAATGTTAGACGATGTTGCTTGTTAACCTAAATCTCAGCTTTCCCTCTCTGCTGGAAGCCAACAATTTTTCAAAAACCGAGCTAAAAATTAGCAATGGGATTTTTTCGTTGAGAATTTTCCTGTGTTCACCCAACTGGCTGCTAACTTTAGCAGAAAATTAGTTTTACCTGTAAAGGAATTTCCACCAACATTGAGTGAATGTCTACAGAAGTTATAGCAATATAAAAAAAGTGAACACTGAAGGAAATATCAACAAATTTGTCTTGTAACTACTCAGAGAAGTGATGCATAATGTTGTCACCCAGCAAACTCAGCATAACACTATACAATAATACAACAGCATAACGCTTAACTCCATCAGCATAGCAACAAAAGCCAGGCATGACTTAAGACAAGGTCTATTTAAATCAACTCTCTGGCAATCTTTAAAACAACTTTTCTTACTTTGTGCCATCAAGATTTCTTCAATGTGGCATATCATGCCGCATCTACATCAGGTGCATTGTCCATATCCTCACTTGGTTTCCCAGTTCCCAACCAATTATCACTGTCCTTGTCAAAAATGCACTCTCAACAATGTTAGGTGGGGAATTCCAACTCTGTTCTCAGCATCAACCAGCAGTGATGTGTGTCCAAGTCAGGATGGTCGTCATTTGCAGGTGAAGGCGCTTCAACTATGTTGGAGCTCATGGCCTTCCATGAAAGGATTACAGGGGATGGTAATGTTTTTATAGCCAGAATATTGTGGTCTAATTTGATTATAAATATTTAAATTGTGGTGAAATGTTTTCCTGCTGCAGATGTATTATCTGTTCCAACACAACCTATTCCTCAAAGGAGGATTACGACAAAAGAAAGATTTTAAAGAAATAATTGTAATACTTCACATAATTTGTGTCAAGGCCCTTTTAACTGTTCTGCTAACTAATCTTTATTAACTTACTTAAACTACTGCCTTTGTTACTTGGATAATACACTGTTATTGTGCATAAGGTAGAATGAGACTTTGTGCCAGCTTACATATTATGGCAATCAAATACTTCAGTACCTCTCTTTCTGCCTCCTTTAACTCAGACTCTTTTTCTTTGACTCGCATCACAAACATTTGCCTCATTTCTTCTTCCTTCCTCTGAAGTTCACCAAGAAACTCATTCCTCTTAGCTTCATACGTTTCTTGAAGGCTGGAAGAAAGTATTAACTGATTGTTTGAAATAAAAACCCTGGGCACAGATGTCAAAGTTGTAACCCTAACATAAAAAAGTGTTGATATTAGTTAAATTACCTACTCATATTTCAGGTATCTCTGTACATCTAGGAGGACTAATGAAGTATTTGAAAATATGAAAACTTCAACAGTAGACTTTTCACAAAAAGCTAACAACATTATTTCTATGGTTGGTATACCAAAAAACACATTTTCTGCAATTGATTTTCTTGTGGTAGCTGACAAGCTTTTAAAGAGTTCGGATCAGCAGTAGATCAATATTCTTCTCCAGGACATGGTACACAAGAAAGTTTTAAAAACACAGAATCTTATAGGGGTTTCAGCAATGTGGACTATGGGGAGATTTGTGGCAGAATCAGATGAAAAGTCCGGTGAGGTGTATCTAAATATCTAAGCAGCGATGGGAGTTCCTCAATATACACAGCGAGTTCCCAATTAAAGGTGGAATTAGAGATTATTAAACTCTTATTAATGCCACAACTGGCCTCATTAATATTTAGCTTCCTATCTTACTACGCGCGCCAAAACAGGCTAAGCTTCAAGACTTTACTACACAGAACTCACAGTAGGTACCTGGCAACTTCAGCTCTACGCTGGCTACAACCAGCTTCCATGAAACTCAGTACCAAAGATCATCTCATAGCACGATCAATGGCTACCAGCCAGAGGCACTCCTTGCCCACAGACACTGGCACCCAACATTTGCCAATCCCTCACACACCACCATCATAGTTTCCCTCCAATCTTTCTGCAAAACACACACAAAGCTCACACCAACTAGCTTTGAAAGGCTGCTGCTAGGACATTTTGTGCGCTGGGACAGGATTGGACCAAGCTGCATCTCAGGGCTGCTTGCTTGTTCTCTTAGCATTGGCTCACTTAGTAAATGTGTGGCTAAAGGAGTGGTGCAGAAAAGAAGGGTTCCACCATGTAGAGCATTGGCAACAGCAGTGGGACAAAAAGGAACTGTACCATTGGGATGTGCTCCACCTCAACAAATCTGCAATCAGGATCATAGTGAAAAGGCAAAATTGGGTAGTGGTGCTGTTACTAACATTTCCAGAATGAGTAACAGGATAGGAGAGTATGGAAAGGATCAAGAATCTAAATTCAGGCACAGCAGATAAGGGGAGAACTAGCAGAAGGGGGCCAATCAACGAAGGACTGAAGATACTATGCTTAAATGTGCAGTGTAGGAAATAAGGTAAATGAGCTTATAGTACAGATTTCCAATTGGCAACTATGATGTTGTGTGCATCAGAGACATGGCTACAAGCGGATTAGGGCTGGGAACTAAATATCCAAGGATAGGCATCCTATCAAAAGGGCATGCAGATAGGCAGAGGGGGTGGGGTTGACATTGTTAGCAAGAAATGAAATTAAATTGATAGCAAGAAATGATATAGGGTTGGAAGGCATAGAATATGCATTGGTAGAGTTGAAGAACCACAAAAGGGAAAAAAGACCCTGATAGGAGTCATGTACTCCCTGCACTAGTCAGGATGTGGGGCAGAAAATGAATCAGGAGGTAGAGAAGACCAAGAAAAGAAAAGAACAGGGATGTATGTACTGCTGAGGCTGTATAAAGCTCGGGGTCAGACCACAGTTGGAATAATAAGAGCAGTTTTGGGCCCCATATCTAAGGAGGGATGTGCTGGCCTCGAAGTAGGTCCGGAACAGATTTAGCAAATGATCCCGGGGATGTCATATGAGCTTATATGGGCTGGTCATACGAGCAGTGTTGAGGATGTTCGGTTTATACTTGATGGAAGTTAGAAGGATGAGGGGGGCTTCTCATTCAAACTTACAGAATACAGAAGGGCCTGGACACCGTGAACATGGAGATGATGCTTCCACTAGGAGAATTTAGGACCTGAGGGCACAGCCTCAGAGTGAAGGGATGACCTTTTAAAACGGAGATGAGGAGGAATTTCTTCAGCCAGAGTGTGGTGAACCTGTGAAATTAATTGTCACAGAAGGTTGTGAAGGCTAAGTCATCAAGTGTCTTTAAGACAGACAGAGATAGGTTCCTGATTGGTAAGGGGATCAAGGATTATGGGGAGAAAGCAAGAGAATGAAGTTGAGAAATGTATCCAGCCATGATCGAATGGGTAAGATGGCCAAATTTTGATCTTATATATCATATGGTCTACCTGAAAACTCACAGCATCCCTGTCTTCTCTGCCTTGCTGTGCCTCTTAACGCAGTTACACAACCAGGCAGCTTGCCTTACTGATCAGCAATCCTCTGTAAAGGATATCTACATCTTCCTGTGTGACAGTGTCATGCCAATTTCACACATGCATCATTTGTGAACAGTTTACACTGCAACAATAACAATGAATCTGCAACAAGCAAGCAGCCATGTCTCAAAGTCTTAGGGAAGCTATTAGCAGTCATATTTCCATACATTTAAAACACATTTAATATATCAAAGTATTTAATTGACTAAATACCACTTGGCAGTGTCCTGAGGTCATGAAAACCTCTACATAAATTAAAGCCCTCTCCTTTAAGAGCAGTGGATTTTCCACATTAACATTGTAGCCAGCGTTCATTCCATAGTCAAGAGAATTAAAACTTTTAAATCGATCACTTATATTGCTTTTCATGGGACATTACTGCACGCAGTTTGGCTTACACAACTGTAATGCAGAGAAATGTAACAACATTTCAAAAGTAACTCTTTTTTGAAGAGTACTTTGGAATATACGTAAACATGTAAACTCTCATTTCTTTCACTAGAAAAATTTAAAAGGAGAGTTAAAAGAAAGCTTTAAAATTATGAAAGTTTGGATACAGTACGTAGAGCAGAGCTTGCATCTGATTTGGCAGTGATGACAGATCATCAAGTGAAAATTAACAAAGTAGGACGTTATGCACAATGGAGTACTGAAGTTTTGCCCCACACAAGAAAAATAAGGAGCCAGTAAACTTTGCACATTTTAAGATAAAAGCTGAATATTCAAAGCAAAGGAATATGCATTGTACCTGACTGGCTTGTTATTTGGATCTGTATCTTTGAATCCCATCTCTTCTAATTTGCAGCGCCGATACAGCTCATAATGCCGAGTGTGCGTCTGCTCTCTCAAGTCTTCCATGTTGACACAGACAAGCATCTCTCGCAATTTCACAAAGTCACTGTGGTTCTCATTTTCAACTGAAGTAAATTTAAACAAAATAAGTGTGCACAATGAATGCGTGATTAACGATATCTACAAATAAACTATTGTTGAGGCAGTATTATACTGTCACATTCCATGTTACAGCCAGCACCTAAATGGCAGGTGTACAAATAACAGGATAAATGGTCAAAGCATTATTAGAGTGAATTTATTCTTTTGTCTTATGGTGTAATGATTTATGTGATGTACAAAGATAGAGTGCCACATAATAGATTTGCAGCAAAGTTGGCACTATTGGACTATAGTTTACTGCACATTTTGAATAGTTCTATTTACACTAAACTTTAGCCATTTCTCCCCTAGTACCCATGCAATTGGTTTTATGTTTAAAAAAAACTTGTTCGAACTATAACACAAACTCTTAATACGCTTATCCTTTCTCCCTGCTGCACAGGATCTTTTCATTACATACAAGATCCAAAAAAGCCCATCCTCAGTTGGTTTTACAACATTTTCTTTCCGGAAACTAAAAGCACTGTACAAAATTGTCTTCCAGACTACCTAGGTCAACTTCATTTGTTAGTCTATATCAAGATTAAAATTTCCTCACCATTTTCATTAAAACCTCCAATTATTTCCTGATTAATATCTTTTCCAATGATAACTATGGTGAGAGTGTCTATTAATTACTCCCATCTCAGTTTTATGTCCCTTGTGGTTGTAATATCCATCCATATGGATTCTACTTTCTCACCTTTTTAGTCAAGATCCTTCCTTATTACTATCCTTGTGTATCTCTTCTCATCAAGGACTACACGTCCCTCTCCATTCTTTAAGTCTTTTAGAAATGTTATCATCCCTGAAATTTTTATTTCCAACTTTGACCACCTTATAACTATGTCTAGCTGTCATTAAATCTGAACACTTTGTTTATCACTCTTTTTGCAAGTTCTCTGCTCTCTAATCTGCATTTATTTGTTCTTTTATTTCCCATCTAATCTCCAGAACATCCAAATCAAACCTAACAGAAATCATGGCTAAACAATTGGTGAAGCAGTCAGCTTCCTCCTTTTCCCCGAAGTTGTGTCTGCCAAACTTATTTTTAAAAATCACTGCAATTTTGTTTCTGTTGTTACCTTGTACAACTCCCCATGGATACTGTCGAGCTTTAACCATTTTGTTCCCAACTTTGACTTCTTCTGTACTTCCAATTACAGCAAACGGTAGATGGCCCTGAAGTTCAAGATATAAAAAAAAACTTCCATTCTAGCTAGTAGTATAAAAGCATTTGAGCTACCATTTAACAAATGATGTTTCTTCAATAACCCAAAAAATTTACTCAAGCAGTTAACCCAGTTTAATCAGTCCTGAATGGGGGTACATATTTTTGCATCATTAGTCAAATTACCAAAATCTCTCAACTCTAAATTCAAAACATGCAATCAGCTGAGTTTTCTCAAAATGGTTGATTTACTTTTAATTAATCTACCTTTATAGAAGAGTTCAATTTGTGTTAAATACTTACGTTCATAGTTGAATTAATTTTTGCTACTGTATCATCATCAATTGGAAATTGATAGATCTGTACCCCATTGCTAACCAGTTCACCCATTATTTTGATTTTGAATTTATGAAGCTCATTTTTGGCAACAGTGTCTGCCTTTGCAATAACTGGAATAATGTTCACCTGTGTGAAAAAAAAAATCACATTAGATTCATTGCCCCATTTAAAATAAAATTCTGAAGTTACGATTCAGCATAATTTTTTTAAGTAAACAGCAGAACAAAAAGATCTTCCTCAACTGTGAAAAATCTCAAATGATGGTGATGATTATATATTGCAATCAAGTTATATTTGACTTCATAGCATTCAAAACTCTCCTTTATTTATTGTTTTTGTGGGATATGAGCATTGCTGGCAAAGCCAACAACTTTTGCCCAAACCTGACTGTAAGATGAGAAGTGGCTAAAGACAGGGAAGCTGTGTGGCCTGGTGTTTAAACAGCAATTGGAGTATAGCTGTGCAGCTGTACGCTTATGGAAGTGTCATCTGTGCCACTTGTATCGTAAGCAGCAATGGCTTGTTGCAGCTTCACCACTACATAGACCATACAGGAAAACTTAAGACTACCACTACTTGACTAGGTGCAGGGTTCTAAATTTGCACTGGCAATATCCTAGTGATCAGTATTACCTACGGATAGTGGGAGAATCCAGCGAGCATGGACAAGAGGGACACCATTCAGGATGTTGCTTAATGAGGTCAATTTGAGACAATAGTGTGAGAAAACTTGCTAGGCCTCAGAGAAACCCTAACATGAAACTTGATGAAAATTCACTTAGCTGATTCCCAACATTCAGCCCAGTATTTTCTGGAGTGAACAAATAGCAGCAACAATAACATGATGACTGGTAACAGTGCTGACAGAACTTTTATGCAGTAAACAGACAAACTTTTGTTCTGTTACAAGGGTTGTGGAATTTGTGTATTATGGGAGGAAAGCCTCGGAGCAAGAAGTCCAGACCTCTGATTGATGCAATCTTTCCTTACAACTTGACCTTTTGATATTGAGCACAGAGTTATTTTGGAGAGGAGCATGAAATTGATAAATGAAATATGAAGAATGCAAGTTCTTAACAGCTGGTGGTAAATCTAAGATACTGTTGTTGAGAAAGCAAAATTAAAGACACTCTTCACTCATGGATATATTTTCCTTTTTCCCCTATAAAGGATGATTTCTAAAGAGGGAATTCTTGATAATCCTAAATATAAGATTTAAGTACTAGACCGAAGTCTAAAACTTTCCCAGGATTTCTCCAAATAAACAGTTTTAAGTTTGTAGACAGCTTACTACTGCAGCTTGAGCCCTGAATAGGCAGCATGCCACCAATGCAGCCAATTACAGTTTGTTTTGCATCCCACCATCACACTGTCACTATCTTTTCTGATTAAATACTGCATGTGTTTTGTTATCCCCCTCAAGCATACAGGATAGATTTCAGAGGAATGGTGCAAGTTTTTTTTTAAATAATAGATGAAGAACTTCAATATTGATTCAGTAAAAGGCTAAAGGGTAAACCAGAACAGCTGCGGTTTGACACTGCTGTCATTAGGTTGTTGACAGAGGTTCCCATGGACTTCATACAAAAGGGGCAAATTTGAAAGCTGCTAAATTATCATTCATATCTGCACATATACTGGGGGAATTCAGAATTACATTTATACCTCATGAAAAAATGAGAGTCT